CTCCCCGCAGCACGCGCTCTGCCCTGCCCCGCGAGCAGGCGGCTGCCACTCGACCGCGTGTGCGACACCCCGCCGACAGGCCCCCTGCTGGTGAGTAGGATCCCTGTGCGCCGCAGGCTGGGCGCACGGATGTTCGCTCTCCGCGCCACAGAGCTCGGGCAGGCACATTCATGAACACGGACGTGACGGACGTGCACAAGTTTATGTACACATCTATATCTGTATCTATATATATATATATCTGTATATGTACACAATGACATAATGCATGTAAGTGTTACTGTATGCCTGTGTATATGTGCATATGCATGCACATGCACATTAATATATGTACATACATATAGACGCACGCATATACAATGATATATGTGCGCAGGCATGCCGTTCAACTTTTCCCGCCTGGGGCGGCCTGTCGGTCATCGGCAGAATTGCCAGCGCACAGTGTTGTGTCTCTACTCCGACGCAGGCCTCAAGAGTGGCCGCGCTGCGGTCAGGCGAGCCCCATCTGGCAGCAAGCAAGCAAGCAAACTTCTGAGTACGAAACGCACATGAGCACCTGGCCACTGGCACGTGGCATCGCAATGCTTACCGACTGCGGCCCGCAAAAAGATGCGTGGCGAAAGACCCTCCGGTCGACCTTGGAACGCAGGCATTCACGAGCGGCGAACAGATCCGCATTCGCGCCTTCGCAGTCTGGATTCCGGGACGCGGTCCAGCGCATACGCGGTCGCACGGAAACCTGCCGCACGGGGCATCCGCGAACAAACGCCTCGAATCCGCGGGGTTGCGGCCCAGAGGCCGGGCCCGCGAGCCCGTGGATACGGAGATGCGTTTCGCCCACGAGTGGTGAGGGGTCGGAGGGTGAGCGGAGGTGGCGTACCTACTAGGCAGTGCGTCGTGCATGCGGCATGCGCCTGCTGGGCGCAGCAGCAGGTTGGAGGCGGAGCTGGCTGGGCCCCGGGAAATCGGTCGAAGAGGAATGGAAGCAAATCCGTTCAAAATTGGTTCCCGGACACCTCCTGGGGTCCATCTGGTACGCTTTTTCATCATAGACCCGATTTGGGCGGTCCCGGGCACCGAAAAATGCCCCAGAGACCGAACAGGGCGAAGAAAATTAACCAGGCGAAAAAGCCAAGCATATGCAGATGTGAGCACCGAAGGTGTGGGTATCGTCATGGGTGGAGCTCCCATGGGCCACGAAAGGCTGTACTTGGTGGGGGGGACGCATACGAACTTTGCCACTGGGACCTTCGGTGGAGCCCCCCAATGGGCCGCGAAACGCTGTACTGGGTGGGGGAAACGCACGCAGACTTTGCCATTGGGGCCTTCGGTGGAGCTTCCTATGGGCCACGAAACGCTGTACTCAGGAGGGGGGGGCGCATGCGAACTTGGCCACTCGGGCCTTCGGTGGAGCTCCTCATGGAAGGCCTCCCCGAGCCTCGGGGTTTCGTGGGTTTCCTGTGGGGTTGTCCCAACGGCATGCTCTCGCGCCCCAACGGCTCGCGGGGTTGTCCCAACGTGTTGGCTCGGCCTTCGTAGAGGCTACTCCACAAGAAACCGCCCTCCACAAAAACACACACACAAAAAAAACAACCCTGGGACCCCAGGACGTCCACTGATTCTTGGTGCGGGAGAGTCGCGCATTGCATAGCAGAAGCATCGAAATCCAAGAAACTCAGGGCACCCTGGAGGCAAGCAGGGTGTTTCTTGGCATGGGCCTCCACTGTATGCTGGGGGTGGACGCGGGCGACCAGATCTGGCGGAGGGAGTCCTCTGGAAGGTTGCGCGGGCGGTCTGCCAGCATCCCGCTGGCACTCCTGGGCTGCAGCAGAGCCACTGTCACAAAAGGCACCCGGACAGGCCAAAGCCGCGTGGGTGACAACACCCGAGGAAGGAACCGAGGGGGACAGGACTGGCCACCACACGCCCAGGACTGCCCATCGCACGCCAGCTTGGGGGTCGTTGTGCTTTCTCCTCTTCAACACGAGCTGTCCACGAACAGGCCTGAGGCTTGGGTTGCTCCCGTCGCACTTACGAAGCACGTCCCAGAAATAACTTCGAGCACCCAGACAAGCATCGAGGCGGTGTCGAACGAGTAGCGCCTCCCAGGGCCCGACGCGTGCAAACCATACAGTTCCGGCACGCTCCTGGTGCTCGAAACGCTTCCCGGTGACCAAGGCCTGAGGCGCGATCCCGCGCCAGCCGCGGCAGCACCTCCAGCGCGAGCGCCACACTGAACCTCGCCGCGGGCCCGCGCCTCCCTCGGGCTGCCCCATCGGCGCACTGTCCTCGAGGAGCATCCCTGGATCCACCGGGGGGGCGACGACGGGGGCGAACTGCCCAGGGGAACGCCACGCTAGAGGGGCCCTGGGACACGCAGACATAAATAGACGCAAATCCCAGGATTCCCCATATCTTCCTATATTTTCTGGGTTATCATCTTCCCTCCCACCTCCCATATTTGCCTTTTGTTCCGGGAAATCGACGACTACTGGTGTCTGTGGTTTTTCCCCTCCTGAAATACATGTATCCAGAACGCCGACGGCCCATGCCTTCGGCGAGACTCCCTAGCGAAGACGTGTAATGCTCGCCCCTGGGCTATTCGCCCCAATCGTCGCCTCCGAATCAATGCCAAAACTCACGCTCGCCCGGCTTGCCAGTTCGCTTCTTGCACGGGGGGCTCTGCGCAGGTGTCCGAGTATTAGGTGGCCACATGTGAGCCCTACCCCCCCCACACCAACGATCTCTGAGGGGGGTGGGGGTTCACTCCGCTCAGGAGCCCCCCCCCCCCCCCGAGCAGGAGGAGGAGGAGGAGGAGCAGGAGGAGGAGGAGGAGACGCCCCTCAGAAATCGTGGGGGTCGGGGGGGTAGGGCTCGCACGTGGCCACCGGAGCATTCTTCTGGCTGGTGAATGGCCGCGGCACTGTGTGTGGCATTCGCTCCACGACGCCCAAGGCCAGCCAAGGGGTGGGATGCATCGCCCTCGCTTGGGGGCGAGAACCTTCCTCACAGCCTCGATAGCACGTAAATTGGTGGCGCGCACAGGGGGGTAGGTGGAGGGGGGAAGGCTTCTTAGAAGATGGCTGCTTCTTAGAAGACGCTGGCCTTACATCTATAGACAAGGCCCGCGCCTTCTAAAAAGCAAGGGTGCTTCTAAGAAGTCTCCCCCCCTCCCACTACCCCCCTCTGCGCGTGGCCGAGTACAAGAGGGTGGAGGAAATGAGGAGATCGAGCTTGATGCCGTGCCTCTTGAGCCGGCGCTGACATAGCGGACCAGCGACGGCCACCTGAGCCTGTGCGCATTCGTGGAAGAAGACGCATCGACACGAGCATCGTCTTTCGGAGTTCCTCGCGGACTGCTTGGATCGGCGCTGGGCCCCCCTCCCTGGCGCGCGAAGTAAGCGCTCCAAGGGCTGCGTCGGAAGCGCCGTCAGGGGGTCCAACGCCGACCCCAGAAGTCTGCGTGGACCTCATATGTTTGCTATCATCCTACACGTCGCCTAACGATCCAACTGTTCTGTTACATGGGCCCCTCTGGATCTCGACACTTGCCAAAAGCCAGCTGTTTACTCTGGGCCGCACTTCTCCTGAACAACTCGGCAAGCGTCCTTTACATGTGTATATATACATATAAATATGATCCCCAGTCGAGGATTCACAGGCCCCCCCACCCCCAGTTGGGAAGAGCCCCAGGGTTCCACAAGCCGCCCCAGCACTCCCCCCAGATGGAATGTGGGGGAAGACGACGACGACGACGACGACGACGACGATGACGACGACGACGACGACGACCACGACGACCACGACCACGACCACGACCCTGACGACGGCGACGTCCATCCTCCACCACGTCACGCCCACAGGGCCACTGCCACAGGGGGTGGGGGGAACAATCCCATTGTCCTGCGACCTTGGCCTCGTAAAGCTCTCGGCGAGAGCAGCCGAACGTCCACCCTCCACCACGCCACGCCCACAGAGCCACGACCACAGGGGGGGAGGGAGCGATTCCACTCGCGAGGACTGCGGGAGGATCACGGGTGTACCCATCCAGCGGGGCGGGTGGCTCGATCACATGTGCACTTTGGGGGGGGGGGGCGGGGCAAACCCTGGATCATATATATATATATACATACATATACATCTATGTGTGTATCTATATGTACGTATGCGCACATGTGTGTATATACATGCATACATACATACCCAAATATAATAAATAAACAAATAAATACATACACACCAGCCAGCGTGCCCTGAGGCACGAGTTGGAGTGTCTCCAGGTCCTTGTCCTCAATCCTGAAGGTCCCCTGAGGGGCCCAAGACATCCCCAGATACCCCAAAACGGTCCCCAAGAGACTTCAAAATTGCCTCTAAGAGGCCCCCAAGAGACCCGCCACGATACCTCGACGAACATCCCAAAGGCCTATGACCCACAACCCAGGCACGGTGGCGGGATGGGCCGAAAGCCATTCGATCCGCCGCCCCCTGTTGATTCATCACATGGGTGCCCAGCGTGCTGAACCCTTTCGCTTTTGGTTTCGGTTCTTGTTCCACAAGAACTCCCCCTGGGGCGCCGGCCGATTCCGCCAGCCACCCAGGAGGGCGCGCAACAGGTGGTTGCACAGGGTTTTTCTGCTCCAGATGGCTCCAAGATGGCCTCCAAGATGGCCAAGATAGCCAAAGATGGCCTCCAAGTTCGCCCAAGATGGTCCAATATGGCCTCGAAGACGGCCCAAGAGAGTCCAGGATGCCTCCACGTTCGCACAAGAAATACCTAAGACGGCCCAAGACGGCCCCAGAGGCCTCCAAGAGGCCTCCAAGACTTCCCAAGAGGCCTCGAAGAGGCCCGCCAGGGTCCTCAAGGACGGCCCGAAGAGGTCAAAATAATTTACGTTCCTTCGGTATTTGAAAGATTTTCGCGTTTGCTCCTGTTCGGCCTTCCGATGTCCCGAGACGGCCCTAGAGGCCATCAAGATCGCCCCAAGAGTGCCCAAGAAGCC